CCCCCTCCGGGCGCCGTCTCCGCGTCCAGCAGGCGCTCGGCTCTCGCCGCGCTCCGCCCCCTGCTCCTGGCTCCCGTACCCTGGACGGGCAACGCCGGGTAATCCGAAGCGCGAGAATTAAGGGGGTGGGAAGGTGTGAGCCACAAACCAGAGGAGGGCGGGAAGGAGGAGGAGGCCCCGGGGGTGGTCTGGGGGACAGGGGGTCCCGCTGGCAGAGGACCGACGGGCGGGCTGACTGACGGCGGCGGCCTCCGGTCCGGACGCGCGGAGCCGAGCGGGGCGGCGCGGCGAGCAGAGCCATGGCCTCCGGTGAGTGATCCTGGCGCCGCGGGCCGGGCCCGGCCGGGGGGAGCAAGGGCGGAGCTCGTCGGGGGTCTCGCTGCTCAGTTTCGGGGGCTCAATTTTGATTGGGGGGCAGTCTGTCTTTAAAGTCTCCTCATCTGGCAGATTGTCAAACTCTGAATCAGTAATCTGGTTCAGGGTTTGCGTGCAAAATCAAAGTCACGCTCTGTAATTTGATGCTGTTATAATAGCCGGAACCTTAGAAATTCCCAACGACTTGGTTTTAGGATTAGGGAAGTAATAAGAATCTAAATGAAGGAGGTCGAAGAGTTCTCGTATTTCAAAGTTGATTTATATCGAAATGGTGGTTTTATGTTTTAGATGGTTTTATGTTTTAGATCAGGAATGAGGAACCTTCAGACCTCAAAAGAGCTCTGCGTTTTTTAGTTTAATTTCATCAAGTGCTAAGAGGTGATCGTGGTACAAAATGTGTGACTTTAAAAGTCACCTACTGGTCTTTTAATAGATCTTAAGTGGAATGTTGCTTCAACAAAATGGGTAATTTTTACAGTACAGTCGGTACGTTCTCGTTTAGGGAGCAAAAATCGAGTGTTTTTGTTTTTTTCTTTTCCCTCCTCGTTGGAAAGAAGGGGAAAAGAGGAGTTTTAGAATATCCGTGCTTTAAAATATGGATACTAATGAAAACAGCTTTCAATCGCTTGATGTAAATATTTATTTTCAGTTAATGCGTGAATCTCTTGCTTTGGGAGTAAACGAGTTTACCAAATAACTTAGAGGGCTAGAGTGGGTGGAGTCTCATATATACAGCCATGAGTTAGGTCAGCCTATAACCAAAGAGAAATAAAGTACTGAGTTCGAGTTGGACCTTTATGGGATTCTGGCAAGGTTATTCATAGGTAGAGATGCTTACAAATTACTCCTTAACGCTGTGCTAGGAACCTGAAGAGGGGGGCTTGTTTACGCTTGACCCGCATCCTCCCAACTCTCTGGTACTGTGACCCTCTGTAGAAGGTTGATGTCTAGCAGAGAAGAGGAAGTAGAAAGCTTAGAGGACTTTTTAAAGAGGTTGAGCAGAACAATGCCACAGCTACTGCTTGCTGTAGGCTGAAAAGGAAATTGGGGTGGTTCACATGACATTTGATTTCAGTTTGTCTGTGGTTTTTATGTGCAAATACAAATGGAGTTTAAAATATTACAACTTTCTCTTTACCCACTTCATTGACCCCCAAACTTTCAGATAATATTTTAAATTCACAAATTCAAAGCACGTTTAGATTAAAACTGCAAAAATGACTTGAAATATTTGGTTAATTTATTGGTTATCAGAAAGAGATTTTGTGAAAATAGTAAAGAATGGCGAGCATTATAAGAAAAAAATGGTCAGCCTGCTGGCAGTTTAACCAAATTTTATTAATATATGGCATGAATGTAATACTTCTGATTCTTTCAAAAGAGAGAAAAGAATTCACCATTTATATAGAGATTGTAAGACCTACATCATTTAAAAATGTGACACAATTTAAACTTGTTTAATGACACTGTATTTTGTGCTGTAGTGAGGACTGATTTTCTAAATTGAAGGGGAAGAAGTTTTAAGGAATGGAAACTTGTAGAATAATCATAAAAAGTTATTTAAATTGTAATTCAGTTGTTTGAAAACTGCTAAGCACATTTTTAAAAAGGAGTCTCGGTGTACTTAATCGCTTGTAAAAACCTTAGAGAAAACGAATCACTAAATTATAAATTCCCACCCTGTTTTGAAACAGTAATTTAACCAAGTCACAGAAAAAAGAAATGTGCTAAATTAGTTTATCATCGTCTGGTTTAGGTTCTTTTGTAGTAAGGTAGTATTAAAACCTCAAAAAGTATTTTTATTGATTACCAAGCTCTTAAGACCATTTCTTCATTTCTCCCCGGATGTCATATGTAAATAGGTATGTGTAGTTGAATATGTGATCTGTATAACGTAAAAAGTAACCTCACAATCTCATAAGCAAATTACATAAGTACCATGAGTAACCGAGACTTTGAGATATATATGTGTGTGTATATATGTGTGTGTGTGTGTGTATATATATGTGTGTGTGTGCGTGTGTGCGTGTGTGTGTGTGTGTGTGTGTGTGTATATATATAAAACTTTAAATTATGTTCAGGTAAAACATCAGATTATTTAGGATTTCACAGCTTAGGTTCTATTAAAATGTCTTTATTGCTTTTTAAATTACACCTAATTCCAGCTTTTTGGCATGATTAATTAGAATATTTATGAAGAAAAATATTCCTAGACCCATCTAGGGTATGCATAGTTAGGCAATCACTACTCTTGTATATTTTAGTAAAATTAATTCTTTTATGTTTGAATTTAAAGCTTCTTATTGTTTCAGTAAAAAGTGCAAAAATGTTTTTGTGTGCACATAGCGCTGTTTACTAATAAATAGCACTGTCTGTGGTAAAATGTGTTTGAAAATTTTGATAATTTATTTTTATTCCTAGTTTTCTTTAGTATAGTTCTGCTATGTCACTTAGTAGTAAGTACACAAAGAAATTGTTTTTGTAAACCTCACGCTACTTACCAACTTTGTAGTGTAAGTAGTGTAAGAGAACTATTTCTCTTGAGTAAGGAGAAAAAAATTAATGTGTGATGCAACTTAAATTTTTAATGTGTGATGCAACTTAAATTTTAACTGGAAGCTGGAATTGATAGCTAAGGTGAATGACTTCTTTTTTTAAGTAGAAGACTACACACGTAAACATGAAGGCTGTTTCGGAAGTTCAATGCATGAAAATGTAGAGATAACAGTGGTATAAAGGAATGAAGGTGATATGATAGACATAGAGTGAAGAGAATAAGTGAATGAAATGACTAGTGAGGAATCAGATGATGATTCATAATTGGGAGCACCTGGGGTGTGTGTAGTATTTTAAATAAAATTTAAAGGACTCAGCATTTCCTTTTGTTCCATCTTTCTCTCATCTGTGTTCTCTGCAAGTGATTGTGTTTGTAGATACATGGCCCAAATAGCTGCATGGGATTTACTTATACTAGAGAGTTATTTGTTTAATTCATATTTAAATGGGCATCCTGTAATATTTATTTATTTATTTATTTATATTTTATTTTTTTAATGGTGACCGGTTAACGAAATCCAATAAGTTTCAGCTGTACATTTTAACTGTAAGGCATATATATATTTACACTGTGTGTTCACCTTTCATAGTTAGATTTCTTTCTGTCACCACATATTTGACCCCCTTTACCCTGTCTACCTTCTCTTTCTCCCCTCCCCTCTGTAATATTTATTTTAAAATCTGGCATTCTTGATTAAGGCAGATGATATGGCTTTGCCATCTATTTTTAATTTAGTTAAATACCTGAAAAATCTAGGGCAGATTTTAAATATTTCTTTACTTTTTCACCCTGGAAGTTAAAATTTTTCAACACTTATTTTTTATATTCACAGCAATGGAATATCTAGTAGTGGAATCTCTATTGCCAAAATCTTTTAAATTTTTTCTTTACTATCTTGTGATGCATATATCAGATACTCAACTGAAAATTTTCTTACTTGATTTTTAAGACCTAGTTGAGAGTCAGCCTGATATATTGGAATAAACCTGGACTTGAGCCAATGATGGACCTGGGGTGGTTTTCATTCCAGTTCTGCCATTCTGTGATATAAAAATGGGACTAACTACTGCAGCGTCTTGTGAGGAACAGATGAGATAATGCATGCCCATAAATGTTTTCTTTTGTAGTGGAACACTTTGGGGACACAAACCTCTAGGAAGCAGGAACCACTAGACACACGTGGCATTTACTGTTTAAGTATCTTGATGATTCTGGAATTTTATGGAACCTTAAAACCTATATTAGTAGACTAGACGCTAGATAGGAAATATGTCTTTCAAGAATATGTCAAAAAAGAATGCTCGTTTACTTTTAAACAGTTTGAAATGGTTTTGTGTATGTTTAAACTAGGGGTATAGAATTTGACAGTGATGTTTGGTTGCAGTGTATTTTTTCTCCACTTAAATAATAGTAAGCATTCTGGGAAAAAATGTAAATCAAAAAATTACTTGGTCGATAAACCATGTGTCCTGCTGCTAACTTGATTGATATAACATCCTCCATTTCTTTTATACCTTCTTGTGTTAGTTGTTTTCTGTCCTTGTAGGAGTAAGCTTAAGTTTTCTTTGCCCCTTTGTTAATTGCATTTAATTCTAGCTATGTACGAAGTGGTAATTGTAAATTTTGATCATATTTAAGAAGAAATGGAAAAACTCACCTGTGTCTTAAGTTAAAGAAGATCATTACCATGATTCAGTTGGGTTTCTAGGTTTAAGGAAAGAGAATAGATTTAGTTTTCTTTTTCTCCATAGTGAATACAGCTGATATTTGGAAAAGTATTGCTGGTTCCATTTGCTCCTTTGGGTGTCAGGCAGTCTACTATCCAGTACTTCTGTGAGGGAGATGCAGTCTCTAGTCAGTTATTCTCAGCTGTGATATTGACACATTGGATTGTTATGAGCATTTGTGTTTTAAGAAATGTTTTTGATGATGGTTATTAATTTTGCAAACGACTTACTTTTTAAATAAGAACAATTGGAGGCTATAGTGTTTTCCCTCCTGCTTGCATTTGAGTAAGTTCTTTAGAGTAGGTGAGAAAGAGGAGTTACAAGTAGTCAGAATTCCTCTGCCTAGTTCATCCACCACCCAGCCCATACTTGTATGTGAATTTTTGGATTGCTTCTCTACATGCGTGCGTCATTGTTTCCACTTCTTTATGTTTTAGGGCAATGATTCTTAATCAGGAGTGTATTAGAATTGCTTGGAACGCTTTTTCAGAAACATGTCTGGGCTTTAGATAGATCTGTGTTCCTATTCAGCAGGTCTAAGGTGGGGTCAGGGCATGTATGTTTTGAAAAAGCTACCTAGGTGATTCCGATATACAACCCCAGTATGAACTCTGTTCCAGGAATTTCACTGGATCTACATACTCACTTGTTTATAACAAGATGCATATTTTCTTTAACTAAATTGCATTTATTTTAGGTTATTGACTATATCAGTTTGTATCATATTGTGACTTTACCCCCAGATGCTTTTACAATTGTTGTTCTTTAAATTTGACACCATGGGATCCCAGCTGTCATATTTGCTAATGTCATTTATAATTTCATATAATTTTGAACTTTAGTTTTATTATCTGTAAAATGAGATAATAATTCCTGTTCTGTTTTTATGAAGATTAAAGTTAAGAGGATGAGAAATGAGAAAGTGCTTTAAAACAGGGTTATAATTACTCTAAGATTTTTTTCACTTTCCAATTCTAGCTATAAGGTTTTAGTTTATAATGTGTCTATTTCTGACAATTGATCTATTTTTGACTTTTATTTCAGTGTAATTTTTTATTTATCTTAAAAACTTATGTTTTATTAGAGAGGCACTATGTTTTAAAGTAACACTTTCACATAAATGCAAATAAAAACATCAACATATCTTCAGACATTTTGCCTGAATTTCAAATGTTGCTTTGGTCTGTACTGGCTTTTTACAATACTAATCAAAATATAGATGCCAATCCAAACTTGCATAGTCTTAGTTAAAGAAAAGTACAGTAATTAACTTGTTTAGAACTGGTTTTAAAGACTTTCAATGCTTTTCAAAACTGTAGTGATTTGAAATAGTCTTAAGAGTACTCATTTTCCCTCAAGTACCTGATTTATATTTTACCTTTTGCATTCCATAGATGACGACATTTCAGCACTTTTTAATCTTTAGGAAGAATTGCAGTTCAGCATAGGGTACTGAGGAAGGAAGTAACTGATACATTGTACTGATACATGATATAAATGATTTATAACTGGGAAGTTTTTTAAAAACATAAGTACAGATAAAGGGATCAGAATGTGAATGGGTATGAGGAGTGTGAAGATGTAGCAATTCTAGTACCTACAAAGCACTATTTTTTTCCATAGCAGTGGAATCTGATAAGGAAAATTTGATTAATCATAAATGTAGTTCTTCAGTGTTTGCATAACTTAAACAAAATGATTTGTATACAAGGCATAGATAAGTAAGATACAGTTCCTGCCTTCAAGTAGCTTGAAGAAATAAAATAAGTAGCTTTTTTTCAAGAAGAAATAGTTTTCCCTAAATTATAGTTATTTGGAGTAATTGCCATAAACAAAATATTATGGTAGTTTAGAGGAGGAGGAGATTATTTCCAGCTAGGGGAATGTACAGTATGACAATAAACTCTGTTACTTGGTTGTAAGACTTTTTACTAATAAAGGGCTTCTACAATAGGAAGAATAGATTTCAAGGTTTTTTAAAAGTACTTAATGTTATGTGATAACTAATATTTATGTCATTTTTATAATTTAAAAATCTTTTTTAAATGTTTTATTTAAACTTTCAACAACTGTTTTTCTGTTCTCTTGTCTGCAGACTTTTTTTTATAAACACACATTCTAGTTTAAGGAAGTATTATGTAACCAATGAAATTATTTGAATTCTCACTATGAACCTGGCACTTTTATTCACACTCCTCCCCCAAAAGTTAGCCACTTACCACTAATGATGTCATTCTATATCAACTTCCCACCAAGACACCTTTAAATAAGTAGTGGGCAGGGATTTGTTTGACCTTTAGTTCAAACACATAAATGATTTAATATATCACTTAAAAAATACTGTTGAGTATTTTGAGCCACTGAGAGGAAAATGTACTTTCTTTTAAATATTCCTACAAGGATGTATAAGCATGTAAAATATTGAAACTGAAATGTGGATTTGGATTATTTGAAATATACAAAGATATATAAGGATGTGAAATTGTGATTATTTATCTGCATGCCTTACATTTTTCAATAAAATTGAAATAAGTCTTATGAACTTGATAGGGTTAAAGTCAGTTTTTTTCTGACTCTGTCTTTTGAATAAACAAATAGGTAATAGATTCAAACACAAGGAGTCTAAACCAAATAGAATGAAATTAAAGATGACAGTAATACTTTACTCAGTAACCCAAAGTAGAAACTATGGAGTCATCGATGACGCTTTCTCGTAACCCTCATGTTCAGTTAGTCATCAACTACTGTCCGTTTTATCTTTTAAATAATCCTTCATTCCTATTATCCCTACCATATTCCAAACATACCCTTATCATTGCTCATGTTATTGCAGCAGCCTCTAAAACTGATCACCTTGCTTCTTCTTTTCTCTTTGATCTGTCTATTGCCACCAGAATTCTTACTCAAAAATTCCAGTCTGATCTTGTGATTCCCCTGCACATGACCATTCATTGATTCTCTGTCACTCATAGAATGAAATCCAAATTGCCTAATGTACTCTGGCTTTTGGTTTTCTTTCTAAGGGTGGAAATGTACTCCTCTTCCATTGGGACTGTATTGGTGATTCTTAAACTCTTCTCATCCATTGGGGCTGTATCTCTGTACTGGCACAGCTTTGG